GGACGTTTCCATTCCCTTAGAGTTCACTCTACTGTTCTTTTCGCTCATCTGCCGTCGGCTCTTCTCATTACGTGAACGGCCCATCTATGTTTCGCTGTCGATGTATATTCACCTTGATCTCGAAGATGTGACAGATTTCGAAGGTCAGAGCTTCGCATTCCGGTTACATATTGAGAGTGGTGGTTATATTTCAAAAGACATCGCTCAAGCGCTCTGTGAGTAGTGCGAAGCATTATCTACGTAGTTGAACTATCAACCCATGTCTCTGCAGCATAACAGAGCGCTGTGAGGACCGTAGAATCAAAGAGATGAGCACGGATTTTCGGGTCCTTCAGCTGGTCGGTGGCTTCATTCAGAGGCCTCAATGCGGCTCAAGCTGCTTTACTTCTTCTATCTAGGTCCTCGTCCATGTTGTTTTCCATGTTTATTGACAACCCAAGATAAACGTACGAAGTGGTCTCTGCAATGTGAGAGCCATCCAATTCAATTTTTTTGCCTTCGCACCATGGACTTCCATGAACTAGTTCCTTTTTCGATTTATGCGCAGTCCGATCTTTTTCCCCGCTTCGTTGAGGTCGTTCATCATTACTTCTGATTCGCTAGTACTCCTTGAAAAGATGACAATGTCGTCGGCAAAACGAAGGTTTGAGGGTAATGTTCCATCAAAACGCATGCCTTTCAAATCCCAATCGAGTGACTTCATTATCCACTGCAGTGCGGCACTGAACAGCTTTGGCGATATTGTGTTTTCCTGTCGAACCCCTTTTCCTATGGATATTACAAGAGGTCGATGGAAAAGCTGCATTTTCGTAGTGTAGTTCCGATAAAAGTCGGACAAAGTCCTCATGTAAGACGGCTCAACTCCTTCCCCGACGAACGCTGATATTGTTGCATTCGTTTCGACACTGTCAAACTCTTGTTCATAGTCGACAACGGATAGGACTAGAGGCAAGTGGTATTCCCTACAAACTTCGTTGACCCTGGACACGGTTTGGATGTGGTCCACGCAGCAAAATCTTTTTCGAAAACCTGCTTGCTCGACTACTTGCGTCTCATCCAATGTCCCTGATATACGCGAGAAGATAATCATCGTGAAGAGCTTGTATACTACACTCAACAAGCATATGGGGCGATATTTGCGAGGATCACTACGGTCTCCTTTCTCGGGCAGGACGACCGCGCGCGACGTCCTCCACTGGTCTGGGATTGTTTCTTTTTGAAGGCAGCTTGTCATGTGATCTGCGAGAGGTACGTGTAAATGGTGGCCTACAGCTCTAACGAAATCGGCAGTTATATTAACGGGTCCTGGAGCTGTGTCTCTTTTCATGCTTTCTATCGCAACTCGAACCTCCTACGGAAGAATTGCAGGTGGTTTTTTCCTGTGGGGAGAATAGGGTCCGGGACGGAAATTGTGGAACGGAAAAGGTTGACGTAGAACGTTTTCGCTATTAATGCCATATTATCGCGGGAAGCTTTGACGATCCCATCTTCGTTCATCAGGGCAGACAGCGAAACATTATAATCACACAAGTCCCGACGGCATTTTTTTAGACTGCTTCTTTTCTCTGTTGCTTCTAGTATTTTTTTTTTGCTTGTGCCGTTGTAGATCTTTCTGCAAAGCTCTTTGGCAGCTGTCATTTATTACTAGCCATGTTGAACGTGTTACAGTAGGATCAAGCTTCGGTTTCCTTCTCTTTTCGAGCAACTCCTTCATAGTGGTGGAGATGCGATCCGTTCTTGCTTGCGGAACAGAGGCAAATTCGGCACAGCGTTTCAGTCCTTCGACAAGCAGTTCGTAATCTTCGCTCGGTCTTCTTTAATCTGCCAGTCAGGTTTGGGCAAGACTTCGTTCAGAATTCTCTCGTCGTATACATCTAGACTTTTTCCTCGTGGTCGATGAAGAGAGTTCTTTTCCAGCTTGCGGCTGAATTGAATCTTCGCGCGAAGAAGACGGTGATCGGAACCGGTACGGAATGACAGGACTACCGATGTGTCAAATAGTGACCATCTTCTATTTGTTAGGATACGGTCGATTGCCGCATGAGTCATGCCGTTGGGTGACTCCCATGTCCAGCGGCGGCTTTCTTTTTTCTGGAGGAACGAGTTTCCACGGAAGAGACGTGCTGCTGGCAGGAGTCCTGCGAAATGGTTTCCATTCTTATTTCTTTCTCCTAATCTAAAATTTCCGATCCTGCCTTCGCTCTCGTTGGTCTTTCCTATTCTGGCGTTGAAGTCTCCAACAACAAATTTATGACGTGCTTTATCATTGCGGATGACTTCCTCCAACTGATAGTAGAACGCATTTAATTCGCTCTCATCAGCTACATCAGTCGGTGAGTAGCAGTTGATGATCGTGATTTTCTTATGATGCGACAGTTGAAGACGGAGGACGGTTATGCGAGGGGAAAGGATCACGTATGAGTCGACAAGATGGACAATCGGCGGGTGGACGACAAAGCTTACGCCGCCTATATTTCGAGACTAAACCTTTTCTCCGCGGATCACAAGAGTCCCATTGTTCAGTTTTCGTATGTCGATTTTCTTGATTTTTGTTTCTTGTAGTGCGATCATATGAAATTTAATTCGATTTTCGGCTAAAAGTAGGGCTTGAAGATCAGCGTCTGTGGAAAGTGTTCTGGGATTACATGTGCATAGTAAGAAACAATCTCCATGGCGTGTCGTGCGTGTGTTCGTCAGATACGGCTCCGATGGCATCCTGCGTAACCCGAGATTTTTTGGCCTCTCAACGGTCGTCTCACCGCCTAACGTCATAGACGGGAGCACCCAGTGTGCCGGGTACCGAGGCTGGCCCATTACTGGTCGTGCAACTTGGTCCTTCCTGAAGTTCTGACGTAACCTTGCAAGGGCGTATCCAGGTTCTCACCACGATGTGGATCAGAGAGGGGTGTGTTTTCTGTGACGAATCCTTCGCTCGGTCTTCCTACTAATTGATTCGGAAAGATGTTAAAACCGAAATCAGAAACGAAAGTAGGAATGTAAAAGTAACCGACCGCTCAAGGACGATGTAGCAGCCGAAGTCAAAAAGTAAGCAAAGCAAAAAGCCTATGCTACTATTCCAGCATCCCACAACGGTTGAACTCCAATGTACGTGCGCTGCCAGTAAAAATATGACAGAATTAGTCATGCACACCGATTGTGCTGCTCCAATTGATAAATTTCTACGTCGGTGTAAAAAGGATCGTTGTTGATCACAGTCATCATTTATTCTAAACGTGAACAGCATAAAAGTCTAAACTGCAAAAAAGAATAAGACATAGGGAACTAAGTTAGTAAGCATCATGGTTTTGAGATAATCTCAAAACTTGGACCCAGGGCCAGATCGATCCAGGGTCCAGGTTTTGCGAGTATCACTGCGGTTGCTTGTTACATCGCTTTGGTTGCTTGTTACATCACATCCTATCACGAGAAAATCATAGCAGGTGACAAATAAAGGGTTAGCATTATCATAAAGTTATCAGGCTCGGAGTTTTTACAAATAATTTTGCCACTGTGTGCATTACGAGGTATTTTCGCCACCTCTATAGTAAATAGAAGGACGATGTGCTAGTCGGTTTCAGGATCACATTTGAATTATAATTCACAATCACGACAACTCTCAATGTTTACAGTTGCACGTTTAGCACAGTTTGCATTAAAATCACCTACTGCACCATATTTGAGAATTATTGGAACAATCCAAACAGAAATATTCTCCGCGCTGGTTGCGTGTTGTTTTGGTCTACGCGCTCTCCATGCCGCTGGATCTATAGTCCTAATTCTTGCTAAGAAATGCTGTAAGGAAAAGCAAAATGAACAACGCAGATTTGAATGCTAAATAGCAATCGTTTCGTATACATATATATATATATATATATACATATATGTATAAATTCTAAAAATGAAGGATGAAGCTTCCGCCGTTGATCAGTCTCCAAGAGATGCGCCATGCATTCGACTTCATTAAGCATCGCTTGGAGGTTATTGAATGCATACCTGGCCTTGACAATGACTCGCAGTGGCCTACCGATGTATCCAGTGCTGCTATCCTCTCAGACAAGTCTGGTACCAATTTACCAACCCCGTAGAGATTTAAGGCTTGGTGAGCTAACTGCGAGGGGATCGAGCCAATGTGTGTTGCACGGCGCCTCCGACCACTGCACCACAACGCCAAAGAAGTGTATATGCATTAATATATTTCATTGGCATATATTTTCACACCACAGTGGTTTCTTACATGAGGGATCTTGAGCCGGTTAGTCGTGATGTTACGTGGCGCGTACCCATGTGGCGGATAGGTAGTTAATCGCTGACTAAAAGAGATCCTTGTTTTCCTGAGACGCAGGTGGATCTAGTGGATAGACTCCCCGTTTTTACTGAGCCGATTTGGTACGTACATTCTGTACTTACGAGTCGTATTCATGCACGAGTGTGTAAATGTGTTCTAGTTTACGCAGATAGGATTCTACGAGACAATTCGGCCAAAACCCAATTGAAAGATAAGTATATGGGAGGCGGTTAGGAGTTACCTCCAACAAATAAGCTCCATGTCCACTCTGGAAGAGCCTGGCATGCTACTCGTAAATATACTCAGCTCCCACGTTCAGAGCGCAGCAGGCTATACGTGTTAATCAAAACGCTAAAAACAGTGAGAGAAACGGGCCTTATTCCCCTGACCCCAGAAGGGCTCCAATTCGGCAGTGTTGGGTAGGGCGAGTAAGCAGAGGCTGCTAAAATTTTGGGTCTAGTGGAAGCTGCTTGCATCACGAAGAACAAAGGCGAAGATCTGTACCTTCTACGCACGTACACTTGCATCCTAGTATTCGATAGAAAACTTGCTCATGCAAGCAAAAAAAAGGTAAGAAACAACACCATCGGACCAGCCGAGATGAGACGACGCCACCCATTCAACGCCATCTATGACACCGAAGAAGAACTGTTCCTCAAAACATGCTACAGTGGAGGAGTCGGCTGCGTCGGCGTTCTCGTCAACACGAGTTTGTCCACAAACAACGATTCATTCGAACAACTTACAGCCCTCATCGGACGTTTACGATTAAAAAGATGTGGACCAACGCCGGCTTTGACAAGCTTCGTCGCTTACCGGCCTAGATCATGGTACGACGAAAAAAAGTCGAAGCGTTCTATATGGACTTGGAGAAGTTCAGCAGATATGAGCACACATTCTTCAACGTCGTCATTGGAGATTTCAACGCCAAGATTGGACGAAGAGGAACGTGTGAAGAACGTCATATCGGGACCCACGGATTAAAATGGAACGGACAGATTGAGCGGCTATCTGAGTTTATCATGGCGACCAAGACAATGCTAACCGATTTCGCCGTTGTCCCGAAATTCTACACGGGATCAGACTATCGCCTCCTTCATGCAAGATACTATTTCTCGCGAAAAGGATAAAAAGCCGCCAAACTCAAAAGCGAAAGGCGCAGAACCACCATAAACTGGGACTTATTCAATTCACTAGTCGGCTGTCGGAAAGATGCCGTTGTCGATAACATCGACGAAGAAAACGATCGGCTCATTCAACGTCTTCACTTTAGTGCTGTGAAAGCTGAGAGTTCGAGAGTCGTCAAGAGATGTCTCTCTCCATAAACACTTGAGGTGATACGTCCGCGTGGAATCGCACGAGCTACAGGCAACCACGAACTCACGTCCGAACCTGCAAAACCATGCAGACAGCCGATAAAAGAGGGTCTTGAAGAGAGATGAACAGCGGTTATGGTCAAAGCTGCAGAGGCTGGGAGTAGTATTGTCGAAGGCCATCAATGTTTTGCCAACCACAAAACCAAGATAATTGCATTCTGACGCCCAGATGGAACCGTTACAGAGTCCAGAAAGAAAATGGAAAAACCACTCACGGCTACAATTCAGAACTCTTCAGTAGCCGCGCCCTCCTTACCTTTTGTGAAATAAGGGAAGGCGAAAACGTTGTGCCAGGGGTTCTGCTTTCCAAAATGCGAAATGCTATTTCGTCGGTGAAAAATCGAACAAGACCGGATCCGGACAGGATAAGATCTGAACACTTGAGAAACCTTCCGCCAGTCCTCATAAACATACTGGTTCAACTTACAGGTCTACTGTCTGAATGTAAGGTCTCTTCTCAATGGAAGACCAGCAAGGCCGTTCAATTGTTCAAAAAAGGTGACCTTTGCGATATCAGCACTATCGCTCAATTTGCTTTCTACAAACACTTCACTGGAGTCAACCCAAATAAGACTGACAGAACAGAAGGCAAACGAGAGCCCTGCAAGCAGCAGGATTACGAAAAGGATTTAGTACGATGGACCAAATGCACACGATGACAAGACTCATTGAAGTGTCGCCAGATTACAGAAGGTCGCCCTGTTTCAGTTTCATCGATTTCAAAAAGGCCTTTGACTAAACTGAGATAGAAACAATCATTGAAATCCTGGACAGTCAGGGAGTCTCTACTCACTACACGAAGATTGTTTGTGAGCTGTACACAACATACTCAGTACATAAAGATTCCTCTTGAGCTCTGTAAAAAATTTCACAGCAGAAATATCACCATTTTACAATTATATTAACGTCGACGTGAAAGGAGGGGTTTTCCAAGGTGCTACCATCTCTTAAAATTTATTTATTGCCACTCTCGAGAACCTAGTCGTTGCGAATGCAGGATGGAAGATCACTCAGCGTTATTGATGGTGCAGTGGAAGGCATGATGCACTAATCTCCCATATCCACAAGTCAGTGAAATCACCAGAAGCAGCGACTGTGTCAACGATCAAAAATCGATGATTCATTTTAATACGCGACACAGTCGAAAATGAGGTGGGCGGGACACGTAATACGTATGAATGACAACCGATGGACAAGAGCCGTTAGTGACTGGATTCCTCGGAATATGAAAAGTACCGCAGGATGACCCTTAACCCGATGACCAGAGTTTTTCACGAAATGCCTGGAAGAAAATATGATGCTCAACGAGTCTCTTCAGCGAGCAGAACCCACTGGGCTAATCTTCGACGCGACAGCGAAATATGGAAGATTCACTGGCGCCCGTTGGAGTCACTCGACGACCAACAGGACTACAGTTGGCACAGGCGAAATAACTGAAAAGGCAAACTAAAGACAAATGGGACTCAACCGTTTTCGCTTTCCACCGAAAATATGTCTCTTCCACTGGCAAAATAATTCAGCTTTACATTCTAATAATAATGTCAGGGCAAAATTATCACTTTCCCTAAAAGTTGTAATAAAAAGTCAGCTCTGCGACTTGCAAAGCGTGACACCACCATTTCGAATCAGCTATTTTGCTAATTAAAGTATTGATATCCATTTTTTAAAAGCGTTTTTAAGATATTTTTATTAGGAAAGAAGAAAATATAATATGCAAAATTTCAAGAGTCATCTACATGTATTCCAGGTGCTTGTTCATCGTTCTGCCCATTAATCAGCTTGACAAACAGGCTCACGTGCCGAAACATGTGAAGTACAAATCTGAAAGCCCTCGGTTCTAACCCAATGAGCCGTAGTTTTACGAAGCTAGAGAAGCGACAACAACACAGGAAGAGAATGTAATCAAGATTAACACGATTTTCGCTTCTAAACTTTAAGCTAAATTCAATAAGAAGTGCGATTCTTTCAAACCTGGTGATTGAATATTAAGGGGTAAGGATTATGATTGCACTTCGTTCATTAACATACCATCTTCTTCGACAGTTGGTTGGAAAGATGTGGACTTTGCAGCGCTCTAAGCAATCTTGTTGTAAAAGTATAACCAAAACCAGGAAGCTGAGATCCCTTGCATCAAGAACCGTACAAGTGTCAACCACTACAGCGAGAATCTACTCGATGAGGATGGAAATATAGAATTTACGTTGCCTCCTACAACTAATTTCCAAAGCAAATCAATGTTCGATCATAATGCGTGTAAAATCCAAAGAGTTTCAGAGCTAGAAAAGTTTAATGGGTCGCCTGTTACATTATTTTAGAACATTTCACAAGCGAAATATTCGAATTTAATTGATTGACTCGGTGCTCAACGATGCGCTATGCCGATTACCAAACAGGAAGGAGAAATACAGAGCAACTCACTTTTTGCAGCATATGACTCTACACCAAATTCCGTAAGGTGATTTCGAACCAAGTTTGGACCAACTGCGGTCGCAATTTTAGGATTTTCAAGGCCTCAAAGTAGATTTTTTCAACAAATTCCCATTCATGCGTCAATGCACAATAAATCTGAAGAAAATGTTTCACCAGTAAGGGCTAAACACTGAAGCTCTGTGTTCACAACAAAACGAGCATTATGTCATTTCGTAGCCGCTGTTACACTATGCTTCGGCATCCAGAATTCTTCATCGTGGAATGACACAATCTCATAACAAGCTTCTTTGATAGCGATGAGTTCTTCTTCAGCTGCCTAAGAATAAATCGACGCCTGATGCTGCTCCACAAAACAGCGAAATCCTGAAATCTACTATTTTATACTGACCTTCAAAGACATCATGAGCACATCGTACGGATATATTCGACGATTTTTTTTGCGAGCACATTTACGATCTATTTGAATCGTGCAGTTAGCACCATATCGTCGACCGCAGTGACAATCGTTCTCGAATGGTAAAATAGGGCTTATAATCCCACTTTGCCTCACAAAAAACCAATATAAAAGCCGTTTAGACAAAGCTTCTCTTGGTATGATGTCTGAAAATAGTGACCACCCATAAAGCACTCTAAATTCGCAGCACGATTAAATGTCTGGAAAACGAGGATGAGGACAGGCGTATGCCATGCTGAATGTGCGATGTTGAAGCGGTGTCAATCATGTTCTCATTTCATGGGAAAAGTGACGCTATTCTAGCAGAACAGTACTGTGACTAGACGATAGAGAAACAACATACAAAACTGGGGCAAACGATTCCACCAGTGGTGAGCTGTATGAGCAAAAGTGTTTTGTGAGTCCTTACACAAACGCAGAATAAGTTGAAGCGTTGAACTCACATGGATACGTACTGATGCATTCCCTAACTGTGCTTTACTGTTCTGAACATCTAAATCAATTTTTTCCAAAACTGGGTTTTTAAAAAGTGGGACTTATTAATTTGTGCCAGTGCCGAAAAATTGCGGTTTGAACGACATTTCTATTGAGAATAATAATAACTATGACAGCTGTGGATGTTTAATAACGGATTTCGCAAACCACCATTAAATCATGAATGACCGAATATTTTTTAGCGAGCATCAGGTTCCAATACAATTCCCATTTATTTTGTTTCTAAGCAAGCAACATCCGCGCAGGTGGACTGTTCCCATTTACTAACTCAGCTGCCTCACGTCAGTGATAAACGTATCTGCGCGTCTTTGCCACACATACCATCTAGGGTAACAAACAAGTAGTTGGCGCTAGCAGAACTACAGAGTGTGAAAGAATCGCTGGACATCAAAGAAGTTGTTGATCATCGATGTGATTGGGAAAAATGATTGAATTGATTGATTGAGTTGATTGTGATTTGTGGATTTGATTGTGATTGATTGTGATTGTTGATTGTTGCATGTTTGGGAAAAATTCGTAACACTTACTCGGCTATTTTTTTGCCGATATTTTTGAGAATAGTGATTATAACCACATGCTTTATCTTCACAACCCTCACAGTTTATCAAGCTACTCTTTCACATAGAGCAGGACGAGGAGTTCGTTGGGAGGGCGAGATCGAGCTAAACTATTTTACAGTCACATCCAGCTTCGCTCATTTGTTTCCCTAACTCTCAGCTGCAGATTTGATTCATTTGCTAGAGGATGTATGCTACGAGCACATGCACTATTCTATCCTCACTGACACAACGAGAAAATTCCATGTCAAAAGAAATTTTTCCCCATTCACGAGAACACGCTACTACGATGTTTCCAGGTGATTACTGCAGATGCTAGCTGTCTCCTCAGCACCGCTTCCTTCCTGAAATATCATTGGAAATACTTAACGCAGTAGCCACCATATGCATTGCCTTATTTATTGAAATAAGAGAAAAGAATATGTTAAACTCCAAAGCGGTCAGAAGATACAAGTACGTCTATTTCACATAGCTGAACAATAACAGTGGCTTCCCATATGCAACCAATAATGGACGATGAACATTCGAGTAGCAACAACAACTTCATAATACTTGCATCTTGAAGTCGTTCGCCGAGGATTACGTGCTGGTGGTCGTTGTAGATCCTCCAATTGCACAGAAAACATTAGGTAAGTACGTGAAGAAGGGGTCACTTACCTAAACTAAGAAAAA